CGTGTTATTCCTGTGGTAAACTCACGCATACCGACATGAGGTGCGGCATGAACCTCTCGAATATAAAAGTGTAGAGTTGAACTATTCGTGAACTTATCTTGAATAAACTGACGAAATAAACTCGGCTATGGTATATGAGGATGTACTCAGACTTTTTTGAATATAACAAAATACGGAAGTGCGCGTTCCGGGGCATAAAGTAATTTTCTTGAGTTTTTGACCGGGTTCGATGCCCGGTTTTTGTATTTTTGAAGAATGTTTGTACACAGCAAATACTTCCACGTGAGGGTGTGACTCATATTATTCATACTCAGGAAGTTGAATAATGTAGCTAGGTGCAGCGATGCCTTGACAGAAAGTTGTATAACAAATCATTTAGTAAAGTTACCAATACACGGCAAACAGTTTCGTTGTAGTCAATACACGTTGACAGCTGATACAAAAATACTATCAGGGGGAAAACTTTCCTTCTCTCGGGGGTGGATCTCTATTCTCGGGGTTCTCCACACTTGTCAGGGGGGAACTCGTCTCGTCTCTATATCTCGTCCCCTTGAGGTACGGGATCGGGAAAGTCACTTTAACTTTACAGTCAAATAAGGCACACACAACGAAATACGTTTCAACTCTCGTCTTAGTCGATCTTTTGGAGCACTCTATAAGACACAGCGCCCTGGGGAAAAGTCCCCAAGACTCTCGCAAGGCTGAACCAAGACTCGCCCAAGACTGGACTGCGTCAAGGCTCGCCCCTGGACTCTCTCGGACTGCGTCTCTCTCCTCTCTACTGCGTCTGTCGTGGAGTATTCGCCAAGACCAACTCAAACTCTCTTTATTCATTTTCAAAACTCTGACCAATTACAATGCAGTAAAAAGACTCTAGGGCGTAACCTTCAATCATAAAGCCAATCACACTAAGTACTGAATACGTCATATCTTTTGATTAATCGTTCACTACATTAATAACTACGGATACCAACTGTCAGAATGAGTAGTCTAAAAAGCGGCGGCTATCTGGTAATTAGTTCCAAATCACTGAGCCAAGTTCCGTCCAAAACTTCAAATAGGCCTACACGGTGACAGACATAACACAGCAATTCGCTAATAATCAGTTAATTAAGTCGGTCAACAGATACGCGAAAACAAATTCATGACAATACCACAATTCAGACAGTTCTTTTGAAGCAGTCGCAGAAGCAAAACGGTGCCCTCAATAAAAAAAAAAAAAAGTTGTTTCGCTTTTTTGTAAATATATCACGAATTGTTACACACATACACACCACAATGAATTGTATATGATAACTTCCATTGAAAGAGGTCAATAGTTTGGGTAACGGTTATATAACATGTCGTTATCTTGATTATTATATAAATATTATCGTGTTTCTATGATATAGCTGCATCTATAAGCACACATAAATGTTATCTCAATAAATTACTCTGTCAATTTATCACAAGAAGATAACACCCGTACACGCATCTCATCCCAAGCGTGTATGTTGAATATGCAATATACATTGACGATTATATGCCGTACTCTGTATATTATTAAAGGCTGTGAACTAATTTGTAGCTCGGCACCGCGTATACACAGATATTTATGCCGTTATAGACATATGGTTAGACCGTGTATTTAATGGATTAATAACATTGAGTATTATATTTAAAATAATGAACTGACCATTATGTTTAATCACATAGTTCGCAAGTATTTTACGCACATCACCACCCTTGCACTGTTATTAAAAAACAAATAAACCAACCACAGCACCATATTGGATGAAAAGAATGGTCCATAGAAAGATATTTGGTCTATGGCAAGATATAGGAAGGTTCAATTGGTTGAATTGGTTCAACAGCGTCATATAAAAAAAGAAAATGCATCAATTTGCATTCTGCATACTGCGTAGAAATACATTTTACGAGTGATAATCTGAATCTGATAGAACCTTTCAGAGTAAAAGTATTACTTTCACTATATACATCAAGGCCATAGGAAGCAAAATTTAGTTGGTCCGGCCATACATCGAGGGCCGTAGGCCCAAGGCATATGATGACGTGGGCCGACACTCTCCCTTGCAGAGTCTTCTTGACCTAGGGAGCCACAGAGAGCTGCAACGAGTGGGACGTTCCCTGTAGACTACCTAGCTTAGTGATAAAAGACCAATATTATCGACGACGGAGAATGGTGGGCCGAAGGACCACGTCTGCTAGGGGGCGTGCAGAAGTGGCTCGGCCATACGTACGGTTCAACGAACAAAATGCATTTTCATGGTAAGTAACGAAATGTTAACACCGTGGAGCTACATTACATGCATACATGTCATGTGCAGTACCATATAAACACAATTCAAATCACACTGACTGCCAAGTGATACCATATAAACACAATTCAAATCACACTGACTGCCAAGTGATACCATATAAACACAATTCAAATCACACTGACTGCCAAGTGATACCATATAAACACAATTCAAATCACACTGACTGCCAAGTGATACCATATAAACACAATTCAAATCACACTGACTGCCAAGTGATACCATATAAACACAATTCAAATCACACTGACTGCCAAGTGATACCATATAAACACAATTCAAATCACACTGACTGCCAAGTGATACCATATAAACACAGTTCAAACCACACTGACTGCCATGTGATACATATAAACACAGTTCAAACCACACTGACTGCCATGTGATACCATATAAACACAGTTCAGACCACACTGACTGCCATGTGATACCATATAAACTGTTGCTACCGTCGTACGGTAAATCTAGGAATTCCTCTACAGCGCCCTCTATTACAATTGTTTGTTTGTTATGCACTGGAGTAGAAATGCCGTCAACGTAAATATGGCTGCCATTTAAAAACCGGGCTCCACCAGTTTGCCCCGAAATCTAGGTGAATACTTAATTTAAATGTATTTTCTAGTAGCGATAGAAATGATTAATATCTATTGGTGCCGACATTACAATTGTGTTTGATTCTTTGTATTTTATGGATTTGTATTTGATGATTCAAAATGTGCATGTTCATTACGACGTTGCTCAAGTTTTATATGTACTTTTGTACTGTAGTTTACCTGGATGGTATAGACAGCAAAAATAAAGTTCGTGAAGACTACGAAATTACAGCTATTATCATTCTGAGTAAAGAATTAAGGGTAGCGCCCGCAACATAAACACAGTTCAAACCACACTGACTGCCATGTGATACCATATAAACATAATTCAAACCACACTGACTGTCATGTGATATCATATAAATACAATTCAAACCACACTGACTGCCATGTGCTACCATATAAACATAATTCAAACGCACTGATTGTCATGTGATATCATATAAATACAATTCAAACCACACTGACTGCCATGTGATACCATATAAACATAATTCAAACCACACTGA